GAGTGGTTAGACAGCTGGATGTAGTATTCTCCATGATAAGACTGATAATCAACTCCCTGGTAGAATCTACTGTGAGCAGCTGAGTAGCCTTTGGGTATGTGGTCTGCTTCCCACATATAAGAAACAGCTTTGGGAATGGTCTCCAGGTTATAGCACACTCGAACCCTGCATGTAACCATGTCATTGTTCGGCAGCCTGCCATGCTCTGCCAACCTTGGAACTTTCAATGGACCTGAATTAATGGCCTGCCATGTGGTTTGGTCACATGGGACTGTGCCTTTTTACTTGTCAACCTTGGGCTTGTCAATCTCAGCAGCCAGTAGCTGTCTGAGTAAGGAAAAGCCTCTAGCTTCAGTGGGCCAGGAGCAGGAGGCAGAGCTGAAGCCCAAGGTTAAGGGGCTTTCACTCAGCCCCTAGAGCCTGGTACTTTGAACTCAGACTTAAAGCCTCCAAACTAAGAGAATAAATTCCTGTTTGTTAAAGCCATCCCATCTGTGGTATATTCTTGTCAGAGCGGCACTAGGTAACCAGAACGCAAGGTGATGCACCCACATACTCTACAGACATGCATCCCTTGGAGCAATTGACCACGGGACACCAGAGGGGCAACATTCATATGGAAGAAATGCAGGACACACAGGAGTGCATAACTATGAGGGGCACAGGGGGGTTATTGAGCAGGGAGGGGAGGAGACTGGGTTAGGGTTGGGGATGGTAACTGGTATTTATACATACAGTATGAATACATACTACAGTATAAACACATAAATATAAATACATACTAGAAACCAAATGTACATGAAATGTTCAATGCAAAACAAACTCTGCTCTGTAAACGTGCTCCTAAAGTACAATAAAAAATAAAATAAAATAAATCCATTTCCCAAGGCTAATCAGCAATGGCGTAAACTAATCAAGATTTTTCAGGAACAGAAGATTAGAAACTTGGCTCATCAAGGTGCAAATAACCTACAAGATCTAGCTCCAAGGCAAGGCCTCTTTTTTCCTCCCTCTCTTTATGAATTTTAACTTTCTGCATAATGGAGTTATGTGAGACCTGACTTCCAAACCTTGTCTAAAGGAACCACATACTCCCTCAGCATGTTTCCCCTCGGTTCTGCCCACAGATTTGACTCCTCCCCACTCCCACACATTCTCCAACACATCTTCTTGCACACAATTTTAAGTCATTTCAGCATTCCCTGATAGTCAAAGGTTTCAAATCCTCTGCATGCATTTTTAATAAATAGTAGTCTCTGTAATCTTTATCTTGAGCCTGGAGGTGTTTAGGAATCCAATCTCTATAAATCTTGAAGTTTTCTTTCCTGAATTTTCTCTCATTCTGGAAAATAAAAGCAATGCTAGAATTAACTGCTGATTATCCGCATTAGTGAAAAGTATTAGAGACATCTGTACTCTGTTAAGGCATTTGGCTGCTAACCAAAAGTTTGGTGTTCAAACTCAACAGCTACTCTGTGGAAGAAAGATGAGGCAGTCTGCTTCTGTAAAGATTTATAGCCTTGGAAACCCAATGGGGGTCGTTATGAGTCAGAATCAACTCAATGGCAGTGAGTTTGGATGGTTTGGTACAATGACAAGTAGTGATTTTTTAAAAAAAAATTGAATGTACGGTTTACTTACTGTCCTCAAACATTTTGGGAGTTAGTAGGAGTGAAGGGAAAATGTGGAACAAAATCCAAAAACATAATAATTACCAGAATTACTGGTCAGATGGAATCTGGTAAGACCCCCAATACGATGGTCTTGGGATAGACTTCAGGCCTGGAATAAAACTCACTCCCAGGGGCTGGTTCTCAGCCCAATAGTAAACAAGATGTACACACAGACCACTCAACCCAAGGTGCGGTGAAGAAGGTAAAATCTATTTTGACAGACTTGAGGGAGGAAGACACACACAGTATAAATACACACACTACAGTATAAACACACAGTATAAACATATAAATATAAATACATACTAGAGATAGAAAATGCATGCATACATAATACATACAAACACACAACTGCCAGGGAGCTGTCATAAATGTGTGAGATGGTGAACGGACATGCGATTTACAAGAGGTAGAGGACTTGAGAGAGGACAAAGCTCAGCTGGGCCAGGCCAGTCAGAGGACTTTAGAGGGTCGCTGAGACTTGAGTAGATTTTGGAAGACAAGTTAAGATTTAAATGTGCAGCAAAGGAGGGGGAGAAGAGAGGGAAGAGCGTTTAATTAAGAGGATTTCATTAAGTACAAATTCTATCAGATCTGTGCTGAATGCACAGTGAATCAAATTACACTAAATAAGTGAAGAAAGACAACTGAAATTAAGACCCATCACAATCCTGCAAGCACTTTCTGGGAATCAGGATTCTTGGTCTAGGGAACTTAGTCTGCAGATACAACAGTGATTTTTGGATTGGACTGCTAACTTAATTTTAGCCAAAACCTTGAGCTTTCTGAATCTATAGGCTTTTTAATGTCTTTTTTCTCCTCCTCCTCGCTAGAGGAAATTAATACTAGTTAGAGAAACACTATTAGGTTTAGGGTTCTCATTTGTAAGCTTTCCTTTATGACAAACTAAATGTCAGCAGTTCAAACTCACTAGGCGTTCCATGAGAAAAAGATGAGGAAGTCTGTTTCCATAAAGATTAACAGCTTTGGAAACCCTTTGAGGCAGTTCTACTCTGTCCTATAGAGTCACTGAGTTGCAATTGACTCCATGGCAGTAGGTTTGGTTTTTAGTGGGTTTAGATGGCACTTCTTATTTTTATGAGTTTTTTCCTTATTATATTTTTCAATGCAGTGTTTGCTATATAAAAAGAATATATGTAACATACATTTAAGGTATAAAGCAAATTGTGTCAAACACTCAGGACTCCCCCACACTTCTAACCCTGAAAAGTTGCCAACAACTTTTATTTACCTTAGTGCTTTTCCCCCAATCCCATGCCCTGCCTTTATCACTGAGGTAGCCACTGTCTTGATTTTAAAAATCTGTTAACCTGTCACATTAAAAAAACATACTTTTATAATTACACAGACATGCTTCTATATATGCTTAAAGAATAGAACCAAAAAACCCAAACTCACTGCCATCAAGTTGGAGCCAACTCATAGCAACCCCTCCTTGGGTTTCCGAGGCCGTATCACCACAGAAATAGACTGCCCAATCTTCCTTCTGATAAAGCATAAACAATTTGGTTTTATTTTTGATCTTTTTAAGATTGTATATGCACCTTGGGTGACTTAGCATGTTTCTGAAATTCAACCATCGTAGTTGAATTTTTCTGCTGTTATGATGTTGCATCACATGAATGGACCTCAAATAAAAATGCATTTATTCTTTTGGCCATGAACACGTGGCTATTTCTGGTGTTTTGCTATTAAGAGCAGCACTGTTCCATTCTCACTTGTCTCCTTTTGCACGTGTGCACAATATTCTCTCATGTAAACACCTAAGAATGAAATTGTTAGTTCACTGGAGTACCCTCTCACTGGATTAAGGATATCCTTTAAAACCTGCAGCAAATGTAACTGTATGGAGGCATTCCCACACTAATTCCTGGCAAAAGCCAAACTAGTTTTAAATTTGGTATTCTTAAGAATTTGAAATTGGGCGATGGATTTTGATTTTCTGAGTTGGGAGTGAGGTTGAGGCAGTAGAAAACAAGTCTTTCACCTGCTTTCTCATTCTCTTTTCGAATTTCTTCCATTTAATAAACAGTAAACGCAATAGTAACACAGTGAGAAAGAAAACATGGAGAACCCTGCCAGTAAAGTGGCCTTTTAAAATCTTTCCTCATAGATGCTTTCCTAAATGGTGGAAAACTTCCCAGAAGGTGCAAAATCTTTTTTCAAAAAAAGTTAAGTGGCAGTGGGTAGGAAGTAGAAACAAATTCTACCCCTGAAAAGGAATTCCACTCATTAATGTGAGCAGGTAAAATATGAAGGTTCCTCCCATCACCCCACAAAGCCCAGAATCTTTAAGTGCGATCCCCGAATCAGGACAGACTCACAAAGGGAAACCGATGGCCTTCAAATTGCCCGCGCAGCATCTGGATTGGCCGTCGACACCAACTCCTCACACGATGACGCGCGACCGTGTGAATCCGGTTCAAACTTCCTTTCCTTTAATATCTTAAAATTTTGCAAATCCAAGCTCAAGAAGGGAGATCCAGCACAAAGCTAAATGTTATAAGAAGGTAAGCTGTATGTTTCTCGTACTAAAATACCAAACTCACTGCCGCCAAGTCGATGCGACTCGTAGCGACCCCTCCTGGGGTTTCCGAGGCAGTATCACTAAAGTAGATTGCCCAATATTCCTTCCGAGGAGTGGCTGGTGGGTTTCAACCTCCAGCCTTCTGGTTAGCAGTCAAATGCCTTAGGCAATAGGCCACCAGAGATCGCTTACTTGTCGCTGGCAAATATTTCCATGTTGTTGGGTGCCGTCAAGGCAATCCTGCTTCATAGCGACCCCATGCGACACAGAACTGTGCCACAAAGGTTAAAATCTTTATGGAAACAGACCGCCAGCCATTATTTCCCCCGCAGAGCCGTTGGGTGGGCTGGAACCGCCAATCTTTCTATTGCTAACTGAGCAACTAACCGCTTGCGCCACCAGGGCTTCAATGGGGTAAAAATGAAAGTTAACAGATGGCCCAAGAAGTCGCTAACGACAAAATTTTGCCAGTTTGACAGCTTTAATGACAGATCTTAACATGTTTCCCTTACTACTTTTGCGTGATGCTGAACTGGACCCTTTCTTGATATACAGCTATATATAATTTCTTGAGCCGTGTTGCTTTGTCTGTTGTATTGGGGCACAAAATTATCCCTCGTAAGACCAAAGTAAGGGAAGGAGGGAAAGGACATAAACAAATACAAAGCACGCACCGGCAGTTAAGAGTGAGTGCCAGCTCTTTTTGGAAGAGTGAGTGGCTCTGAGAAGAGCCTTTGGGATAATGAGTGAGGCTAGGCCGATCGCGCCTTATCAATGGCTCACTTGGAGCTGGTGTACTTGGTGACGGCCTTAGTACCCTCGGACACAGCGTGCTTGGCCAACTCTCCAGGCAGCAGCAGGCGGACGGCCGTCTGGATCTCCCTAGAAGTGATGGTCGAGCGCTTGTTGTAATGCGCCAGGCGAGAGGCCTCCCCTGCGATGCGCTCGAAAATGTCGTTAACGAACGAATTCATGATGCCCATGGCCTTGGATGAGATGCCAGTGTCCGGGTGGACCTGCTTCAGAACCTTGTACACGTACACAGAATAGCTCTCCTTGCGGCTGCGCTTGCGCTTTTTGCCGTCCTTCTTCTGTGCCTTGGCTACTGCCTTCTTGGAGCCCTTCTTCGGGGCAGGAGCAGACTTGGCTGGCTCTGGCATGGCCGAGACTTAACTACTGACGAACTGGGAAGAATGAGCGTGGCGCGGTATCTTCTACGCAGCTACATACGACTTATATTAATTTTGTCCAATCAAAAGAAGTGTATTTCAAACCACGATTCCATTGGTTCACGTGTTAGTGTCATTTTTAACCAATGGAATAGCTTCATTTTCGCGCTTTGCAATGTGTATAAGTACGGCAGCTCTAGCTTTTTAACCTTACAGCTTACTTACGCTGGTGGGTATTGCGGCATCATGTCTGGACGTGGCAAGCAGGGCGGCAAGGCTCGCGCCAAGGCCAAGACTCGCTCTTCTCGCGCTGGGCTCCAGTTTCCCGTGGGCAGAGTGCATCGCCTGCTCCGCAAGGGGAACTACTCCGAGCGGGTTGGGGCCGGAGCTCCCGTGTACCTGGCGGCGGTGCTGGAGTACCTGACCGCGGAGATCCTGGAGCTGGCGGGCAACGCGGCCCGCGACAACAAGAAGACGCGCATCATCCCGCGCCACCTGCAGCTGGCCATCCGCAACGACGAGGAGCTCAACAAGCTGCTGGGCAAAGTGACCATCGCTCAAGGTGGAGTCTTGCCTAATATCCAGGCTGTGCTTCTGCCCAAGAAGACTGAGAGCCACCATAAGGCCAAGGGCAAGTAAAAGTCGGGATTGTTCTGCAGCAAGTCGTACCTCTCATCCAAACCAAAGGCTCTTTTCAGAGCCACTCACTTTATCACTAGATGAGCTGCGCTTAAACAGACTCCTAAAAATGGCACCTTAATAGGAAATCTTCCCTTTTTGGTTACAAATACTTAAAACCTCCATGAGGAAAAAATTTGGGTCTTGTGATCCTTCTGCAGGATTCAATGCCCATCTAGAACAAAATGATGCAATGAGTGCTACACATACCTTCCTGTCTTCTAATTCACTTAAGTCCTATTGCCTACCTAGGTGGTATGATGCCAGGCACCCTGCTACATGGGAATACAATGGCAATCCCAGATGGGTAATATCCCTGTCCGTGGTGTTACAAGGACTTTTAAATGATAAAGGTGGTGTGGAATTACATGTAAGAGCATGTCACACAAATGTTAGAAAAATTGGACATTGTGAGTCAGATTCTTTACCTTACTTACCAGAGTCATACAGTCCAAGTTCTCTCAACCATTTTTACTGACTTTTCCCCCATCATTATCACTTCACGAACTTCTCTCAGCTCACAGGGTCACCATAAGCTACAGAGAGTCTTCAATTCCACTGCACCTAATACATGTATCATGAGAAAAGTCTAATTTTCCTCATGAAGACATTTTTAATCTCTTAACTAGTTTTGCTATTTCTTTAATGTCTATTGCATTTGGAATCTGTTGGTAATCATTTATTTTCTGAGTCTTAAAATTGTGTAGGGAGCTCAGGTAACATCATGCCTAAGGCACTTGCCTGCTAACCAGAAGGTTGGCGGTTTGAACCCACCAGCCACTCCTCAGAAGGACGGTTGGGCAATCTACTTCCATAGTGATATGGCCTCAGAAACCCAAGGAGGGGTCGCTATGAATCTGGTCCGGTTCCACAGCATATAACAACAAAAAATACATATATTTTTATTTCCTCTGTTTAACTCCCAACTGCAATCACATGCAAATAATTTTCCTTTGAATACAATAGTGACCACAGCAATCATAAATAGAAAGTTGTTGTTGTTGTGTGCCGTCGAGTCGGCCCCGACTCATAGTGACCCCTCCTTGGGTTTCCGAGGCAGTATCACTACAGAAGTAGGATTGCCCAACCTTCCTTCTGAGGAGTGGCTGGTGGGTTTGAACCGCCAGCCTTCTGGTTAGCAGTCAAGTGCTTTAGCCACTATGCTACCAGAGCTCCTAAATAGAAAGTAAACATTATCTTTTTTCTTTTTTTAATTTTATGAGTATTTGATGTTGGATGATCCAAGTCCTAATTTCAGTGAATCAAATTATTCAATTGTTTCCCTCTTTCAAAAAGTTTTTTTGTATTATTTGTGTGTGTAATGTTTAAACAGGAGCCCTAGTGGCACAGTGGTTAAAGTGCTTGGCTGCTCAACCACCCTGAGGGAGCATGGTCACAGGGACATCAAGCTCAATTGGCATAACATACTACACAAAAACATCGTTCTACATCCTACTTTGGTGAGTAGTGACTGAGGTCTTATACACTTGCAAGTGGCCATCTAGAAGCAACAATGAGTCTCTCCTCATCCAGAGCAAAGAAGAATGAAGAAAACCAAGGACACTGGGAAACAATTAGTCCAAGGAACTAGTGTTGTTGTTGTTGTTCTTATGTGCTGTCAATTTGGACCTGACTCATAGCGACCCCTCTTTGAGTTTCCAAGGCAGTATCAGTATGGAAGTAGATTGCCCAACCTTCCTTCCGAGGAGTGGCTGATGGGTTTGAATCTCAGCCTATACCACCATGAGACCAGAAGAAATAGATGAAGCCCGGCTACCGCTGTCAACCATTCAAAAAGGGATCAGTGTGGCAGATCCTGAATAGAGTGTGAGAACAATGTGAAACTAAACTCAAAATCATAAAAAAGACCAGATTTACTGGTCTGATAGAGCCTGGTGAAATCCCTGAGATTATGGGCCCTAGTGACCTTTCAGGTCTGAATTGAACTCTCTCCAGACAATAGACAGGCATATACGGTGAACATTTATATCAAGTAGATACTCTCCTTAGAGTGATCAATCGTAGGAGAACAGAAAGGCAATAGCAGATAGCTCAAGGGGCAGGAATGCATAGGAAAGAAGAACACAGGGAAGAGGTAACTACAGGGAAGAAGTAGGAAGAGAACTGTTACATTGTGAGGAACTGCAGCCAATGTCATGAAACAAAATGTGTATGAACTGCCGGAAAATGAATTTGCTCTATAAACTTTCTCCCAAATCATGATCAAAATAAACAAATGAAATGCTGGCTGCTAACTGAAAGGTCAGTAGTATGAACCCACCCAGCTGCTCCACAAGAGAAAGATGTGTCAGTCTGCCTCTGTACAGATGGCAGCCTTGAAAACCCAATGAAGCAGTCCGACAGGCTTTCTATGATTCACAAATGACTTGATAGCAATGGGTTTGGGGAGAGGCGGTTAAATTTTAAACAATTATTTCACTTAGTACTGGAAATGTCAAAGAGAATAAATGATACAGTTCCTAGGAAGGCCAGTGAGTTCTTTCAAATTTTAATAATAAAACATGCAATTATTATTGATGTTGATGCAATTACTAACACTTGCTTAAGAACATTGTTTCTATTTTCCACAAGAACCACCACATAGTTAAAATCATACCATTATATTTATTAGCGTGCTTTATGTAAAGATTAAACCAAAACTAAACTTACTGTTGTCAAGTCGATTCTGACTCATAGCGACTCCCTTTGGGTTTCCGAGGTGCTAAGTCTTTACTGAAGTCGATTGCCCAGCCTTCCTTTTGCTGAGTGGCTCATGGGTTTGAACTGCCACCTTTCTGGTTAGCAGTCAAATGCCTTAGACACTATGCCATCAGAGCTCCTTACAATCGATAAATCCATAATTTAAAAACTGACAAGTGAATGTAAATGTCCATGTTTGAAATAAAATATTCATGTATGGTATATCATTGTTCATAATTCTATAGGTTAGTTGATTTTTTAAAATTGGCATTGTACCAATCTCATTGGATACAGCACTCATACCACATGTGAAATAAACTATAATCAGAAAAAAAAATTAAAACTTATTTTTAAAAATGAAGATAACAATACCTGAAAAAAAAATCTTTGCTTAATAAAATAAGTCAATCACAGAAGGATAAATATGAATGAGCCCACTACTCTAAAAAGTCCAGGAAAGTTTATTCAGGGAAGGAAACTCACTTTATTGGTTACCGGGAATAGGAGGGAAGAGGAAAAAAAAAAGTCTTACAAATATTGTTTAGTTCTAACTGCAATTAGAACCTAGAGAACTCTTTAGAGTGCACTGTTATTTTATATTATAAAGTCAGTTTAATAAGAGATAAAGTTCATTTTTAGGATCTGTTATGTATTGAATTGTGTCCTCAAAAAATGTGCTATAAATCCTACCCTCTATGCCTGTGGGTATAATCTTACTTGGGAATGGGTTGTCATTAGTGTAGAGTGGGTTTTGAGTCACTCTCTTTCAAGATACAAGAGATTTAACAAGCAATCAAGAGAAGATGGATGCCATGCCATGTGAAGATCACCAAAGAACCAAGGAATAGAAGCTGAAGAGATAAGGACCTTCCCTCAGAGCCAACAGAGAGATAACCTTCTCTTAGAGCTAGCATCCTACATTTGGACTTCTAGCCTCCTTAAAAAAAAAAAAAAAAGTGTTGGTTAAAGCCGTGCACTGGTGGTATTTGTTATGGCAGCATTAGGTAATTAAGACCAAACCAAACTCACTGCCATCAAGTCGATTTCGACTCATAGCAACCCCTCTTTGGATTTCCGAGGTGGTATCACTATGGAAGTAGATTGCCCAACCTTCCTTCTGAGGAATGGCTGGTGGGTTTGAACTGCCAGCCTTCTGGTTAGCAGTCAAATGCCTTTGGCACTACACCACCAGAGCTCCTATTAAGACACTGGCCAACAATTTGTGGAAGCAGTATTTAAACCTTTTTTTTCTTTACCATTTTTTCTCTCCACAATCTCGGACAAACATAAAGTCACCTTGCAATGTCCTCCCATATTAGAGTTTTTGTGTATCTTACCCACTAGTTTATAAACTTCCTCAGGCTGAAGACTGGATTTTATTTATATTTGCATCCCCCAAACCCTAGATCAATGGTAAACCCAGAGAATGAAGTCAACAAATTGTGTTAATTTCATAATCATAAAAATCTTTATGAAAGTATTGATATAAAAGCAAAAAACAAACTGGAAGTTAAACAGAGTTGAGATTGCATGGAAACCTAGAGGTTCAAAGTAAAATATAAACAAAAAAAAAACCTCACTGCCATCAGTCAGATCCGACTCTTAGCGACCCCTCCTTGGATTTCAAAGGTGGTATCACTATGGAAGATTGCCCAATCTTCCTTCTGAGGAGTGGCTGGTTTGAACTGCCAGCCTTCTGGTTAGTAGTGAAATGCCTTTAGAGCTCCTAAAGTAAAATGTGGAGGCTATTAAATAATTTCAAAAAAGGTAAACTGGAGGAGGTAGCCTAAAGATCAAAGAGATCAGAGGAGCAAAGAGAAACCACAAATGATTAAACTGCAGAAAATTGCTGTTGTTAGGTGCCATCAAGTCAATTCCACCTCATAGCAACCCTACGTACAAGAGAACGAAATAGTACCCGGTCCTGTGCCAGCTCCACATTCCCTGCTGTACCTGAGCCCTTCGTAGCCACTGTGTCAATCCAACTCATTGAGGGCCTTCCCCTTTTTCGCTGACCCTCCACTTTACCAACCATGATATCCTTCTCCAAGGCATGGTCCCTTCTGACAATATGACCAAAGTAGATGAGACGAAGTCTGGTCATTCTCACTCCCAAGGAGCATTCTGGCTGCACTTCTTCCAGGATATATTTGCTAGTTTTCTGGCAGTCTATGTACTTTGAGTATTCTTCGCCAACACCACAACTCAAAAGCATCAACTCCTCTTCTGTCTTCCTTGGTCATTGTCCAGCTTTCACATCCATGAGGTGATGAAAAATTAGCCAATAAAAACCCAATGGTCTGATCTGCAACTAATCATGTACATGGCCCAGGATTAGGAAGCATTTAGTTCCATTGTGTGTGGAGGGCCCATTCAATGGCACCTAATAATAAAAACATCACTTTGATATATAAATCATGTGGGGAAAGGCTGATCTGGATGTCCTTGTTAATTTGGTCTATATCTTGCTTCCTTTTCCAACCTTTCAATCTCACATTTAAATAAATGTTACTGAGATTTACTGAATATTAATTACCAGGTTGAATAATGAAACTATTTAATTGAGTGATTTGTGGAACCATTGCTGTGGAAGAATGTAGGAACTCTGGCAAGGGATAGGAACTAGGAGACAAGATTAAGCGAGTGTCAGCGATACATACAAATTTCTGAGGTTCCACAAAAAAAAGTCTTTCTAACTCCCTTTCCTCTAAGGTTGCTTTATGTACTTTCATAACTTTCTCCTCCTTTAGACTCTTATCTACACTTACTACTGCAAGTGTTTATATGAAAATATTAACTTTACTGGTATGGTGGTAGTGTGTGAGAGTGGGTTTTGGCAAAGAGGGAGCAGCGAGGGGCCAATTAGTGTGATCATTGTCCACATATATTTAGCTCTAACATTTCCACCTTTATTGTTAGTGTTCTCTGTTGTCAGCAAGTCTATTCTGACTCATGGAGATACTATGTATGTCAGAGTAGAACTGCTCCATAAAGTTTTCAAGGCTGTTACCTTTTGAAAGCAGATTGCCAGGGCAATAAATGCATTAATGTGTCTTAGAAAACAACTTGAAAATTAACTCTGGCCGGCAGACATCCGCAGTGGGGCAAAGAGGAACAAAGTTACTGGGAACTAACACTCTCCCCTCTGCCTAAGTCTCAATCTGCTGATGACAGGAAGCCGGTGTGACTCATCCCGTATGCAAGCGCGGATCAAAACACTACTGTCCCTTTAAACCGAAGCGAAGGAAATGTCAGTCAATCGTCAACGATCTCACGCCCAAATTCCTGAAATTTTTATGAATATGCATAACTCTCTCTTCTGAAACCTACAAAAACTGTAATTCAATGGAGTTTTGGGAGTCAGATCTGGGTACGGGTACCCCTGCCTCCTTGCATTGCGCTTTGCAATAAATAATTTTCTTTCCTCTTAATCACTCAGTGTGTAAACTGTTTTGGTCTGACTGCGCACTGGGCAGGGACCCACGTTTGGTCCTATTTCAATAACGACCCCCATTGGGTTTCCCAGGTGGTAAATCTTTACAGAAGTAGATTGCCCCATCTTCCTTCCTTGGAGCAGCTAGTGGGTTTTAACCACCAACCTTTTGGCTATCAGTCAAATGCCTTAGGCACTAGGCCACCAAACCAAAAAAAAAAAAAAAAAAAAACACCAAACGCACTTCCATAGAGTAGGATCCGACTCCTAGCGACCCCTCCTTGGGTTTCTGAGGAGGTATCACTACGGAAGTACATTGCCCACTCTTCCTTCCAAGGAGTGGCTGGTGGGTTTCAACTGCTGTCCTTCTGGTTAGCAGTCAAATGCCTTAGGCACTATGGCACCAGAGCTCCTAAAATAGTTATAGTTTTAAGATTTTCATTAATATTAGAACATACTATTAGAATGTCATTCTCTCTGGTCCGGAGGAGGTCGGCTCATTCTTTCCATGTGGGTCATTCTGTTGTAGGAAAACAAAGTCCTTACCTCCTGTCACAAAGGGCCAATAATCACAAAAGGTGGAAGAGGGAAAGCAAAAGGTTTATTGAGAATAGATACCCAAGAAGACAGTGAAAATTGTTTCTCCAAGATGCCTGTCTCCCAGAGCTGGGGAATGCTTAGGGCTTTTAAAGTGAATTGGGCTGGGGGGAGGTGGGGATAGGTTTTAGGAATGCTAATTTTCATTACAGGATGAGTTTCATTTGTTTTGTGATTTCTCAGCCTTTCTTCTGGTCAGTGATAAAGAAACCATCTCTGGTCCTTCAGGGGCCTCACACCTGTCTAGAGAGATTAATTGTGCAAGGAGGGAGTGGTATGAGAGTGGGCATCTCCAGGCCTCTCCTCAGGGAACAACTGCATTTTCTCCCTATCTTGGTTGTCCCAGGGCTCGGTGTCTCCTTTCCCAGGGTCACCTTGCAATGGGGTATGGTTCTTAATTACAACTGACAGGGGAAAGAGTTTTACTTCATGGAATAGTAAATCTAAACAGTTGAATGTAGGAAATAAAGACTGGCTATTTTATTTGCTCAGACAAGAGTGATAGGGGAGGGAAAAGATAGCGAGTTAGTCACTGAGATTAATGCCTGCTTTAATCCTGCTTGTTAGTCTGTAAAGGTGTTGCAGGTTTCAGTGAGAGGGTCCTTCAGCCTTCTATTTCAGCCTTCCTCAATATTGTCCTTTTTGTTTTGTTGTTTCTTTCCTGTAGTTTCCGTTCAGGTAATAGATTTTATTAAGAACTAGACATTAGTCGTCAGGGGATTTGTTGGTTAACTTATTTTCAGGAGTATCAAACTGAAACTTCTAGTAAGAATCATACATTAATCTATAGGGTTGGGTAGTTATTTTCAGGAGTGTACATTCCTTTTTGTTGAGGGTGTTCATTGTGAGATTTTATTTTATTAACCCTTCAGTAACAAAGGGATTTATTTTCAAATTTCATAAAATGCTTCTAAGGTTCCCTAGAAATGAAGTTTTAATGAGACTAAGCTAGGGAGTTTTGAAAAGAAAAATGAGGAAAGACTAGCAGTACCGAATTGTGAAACCTCTAATTTTGCTATAATGTATTAAGTTGATGCAATAAAAAAGAATAGAATTTTCAGTAATGGCTGCAAGTATATAGAACAGGCAGTTTTTTTTATTAAATGTGGACAAAATTAAATATTAAAAATACTATAACTAGCCGCTTACTAAATTGGTAGGGAATTGGTTATACTGTACAAAGGAGAATTCAAAAGGAATAAAGGGATATCAAAAATCACTTTTTGGAAAATTCTCAACATAAATTGATTAAAATATAATCAATGTGACAAAACGCCATATATAGTACTATATAAATCCTTTAACAAAATATGTGCATGTATATGTTCACCAAAATATCGGCAGTAGTTAATCCATGTGTGGTGGGATAAGGGTTATTTCCTTGCTTGCACTGTTTTGAATTTTTCACATTACTGTTTTGCTGTTGCATCCCAACACAATTTTTTAAAGACTTACCACAAAGCAAGTTACCACATTAACAAACTCTGTACAAGGAAACAAGGCCTCTTCCCCACCCCCTTAGATTTCCCTCCCCCACCGGGGCGGGATTTCCCGCCTCTTCAAGTTCTCAGTTCGGTCCGCCAACGGACGTTTAAAGGCCTGCCGCGACCAGTGTGACCATAGGTGTAGTGCACCCTGATTCTTCCAGTATGTCTGGTCGCGGCAAAGGCGGGAAGGGCCTAGGCAAAGGCGGCGCCAAGCGCCACCGTAAGGTGCTCCGCGACAACATCCAGGGTATTACTAAGCCTGCCATCCGGCGCTTGGCTCGGCGTGGTGGCGTCAAGCGTATTTCCGGCCTCATCTATGAGGAGACGCGTGGTGTGCTCAAGGTCTTCCTGGAGAATGTGATCCGTGATGCTGTTACCTACACGGAGCACGCCAAGCGCAAGACAGTCACGGCTATGGATGTGGTTTATGCGCTCAAGCGGCAAGGACGCACCCTCTACGGCTTCGGCGGCTGAGTATCTCCGCGCTTTTCCTCGCTAACAAAAGGTCCTTTTCAGGGCCCCCCATCCTTCCACCAGTGGAGCCGTAATGCTCATTTAACCGTGTCTCTTGACCCGTTTTTGCTCTGGTTTCCGCTTAACGTGGTTTGTGTGTAATTAGTGGCTTATGCATTTCTCTAAACTCAAAAGCTGGCAAACCTATTAGCTAAGTGTTTATTTGGAGTCATGCTGAGGGCAGACAATTGTATTCATCCTGTAAGATTGGGAGTGAGGGGAAGGTTTTCAGTCCCTGCAAAGTTATTCTTAGGAGAAACTGTTTCTCTCCCTTTTCTAAGAAGATTGCATCTTGAAATGTCATTTTTTTTTGTGGCAGATTATAAGAGATAACCCAGGATTACACACTTAAAAGACGAAGTTAAAATTAAGAATTAAAAAAATTGGAAGTCTGCCTAAAACAAGACGCATATTTCCATATCTTTAGGGAATTTGGAGAATACATAACCCTCATTTCACCAAGTAATTTTTAGCTCTGCATTGGCTTGTATAATTTTTTACAATCTCTCCTAAAAAAGCGTAATTTAAACGCTATCTTTGTATCTAATGTTTTAGTCATTTATTATTTAGAAACAACTTTATGTTCACATTTTGATATACTCAAATATTTGAAATGCTACCTTTTCCAGGAGCTTTGGCAGTGTAGTGCCTAAGGCCCTTAACTGCCAACCAGAAGGCTGGCAATTCACACCCACCAGCCACTCCTGGGAAGGAAGGTTGGGTAATTTACCTCCGTAGTGATACCGTCTGGGAAACCCAAGGAGGACTCCATGGTACTGAGTTTGGTTTTTTTTTTTTTTTTTGGTCTCTTAATGTCAGCTTTGGGGTGAGGGTATGGCTGCCGTTGAGTGTTTAATTATTTAAAGTTCTTATTGATAAGATGGCATTAAAACACTGATATTTCCCACAGATTTGAAAAAGCCTGTGGGATCAGGTATCAATGGGAAGTTGCAAATAAATCATATTGGAGGTGAGTGGCTCATTCCCAGGAATTCTGATTTAATTTGTCTGGGATTTAATTGGTTTGGTAGCTGGTTTTGGTTCTCTTTCAATGCTTGAAAACAGGTTCTTAGGGGAAGAAGCACTTGTTGATATTCAAAAATAAATAAACTCTCGCCAGTGGTTCTTATTTACTATCAGGTCAGAGAATCTCTGGTCTGGGTTTCTTTTCTATGCTATGTAGAATAAAGAGATGAAATTAACAGAAAGGTAATGAGAACAAAGTTCAGAAAGACAAAAACCATAGCAAACCCACTGTCATGCTGTAAGCATCCTCAGAATACTGGGGAAGGTTCCTCCTGCCTTTCACTTACCACCCAGAATGTGAGGACAAATACAATAAAATAAAGTATGTGACACTGCAGGAATTATCAAAAATAGCTCCACTAGATCGGTTGAAAAACTGTTAATGACGCTAGGGTTTCAGACGGCTCCATCTTATAGAGAAGATGACATACTCTCTGCTATCCAGTAGATTCAGACTAATAGGGACCCCTATTGGGTTTCCAAAGCTGTAAATCTTCTAGAATGGAGGGTCCTGAAAAGGGCCTTTTGTTGTGAACAAAGAGAAACCTCATTTTCCTTCAGCAGAGCAGCTGGTGGTTTTGAACTGCTGACCTTCTGGTTAGCAGCCAAATGTTTTATCCACTATGCCACCAGAGCTCCTTAGAAGGGAGACTAAACCAAAAACCAAACTCACTGCCATCGTGTTGATTCCAACTCATAGCAACCCATCATTGGGTTTCCAATGAGGTATCTCTACTCCTAAGGAGTGGCTGGTGGGTTTGAACCACTGGCCTTCTGGTTAGCAGTCAAATGCTTAAAGCACTACACCACCAGAGACTAAGCCTCTTCTAATCCATCACACACAATGGCTGACTCTGAGATCTAGAATACAGCTGTTTGTTATAAAATGTTGCTTTCATCCAAGGGTCACAAAGTCAGATGCAATTAGGGTCCAGGCATAAATGAGTAATAACAAGAAGTGATTTATATTGTACTTATTGTGTCAGGCACTGTTCTGAGCACTTTTCATTTATCACCTTATTTGACAGAGCTAAGCACTATCATCATCATACAAATTGTACAATGAAACTGAGGTCCAGAGAAGATAGGTATCCATAGGACTGGCATCTGAAGGCTTTTTCTCAGACAGTCTCTACACTTGAGATTAAACCGATAACTGCAGATGTTGTTGCAAATCTAGAGATGAAAAAGTTCTTTCCTAAAGGACCAGTGGTTACTATGAAACTTATAAAAAAAAGTGGGAGCAGATTAGATCAAACATTGTGTAATCATAACATGATTGATTGAACCCTGCCCTTGGTTAAAAAAAAAAAAAACAAAAAAAAAACTGGTGGCGTAGTGTGTAATACATTTGGCTACTAAGCAGTTCGGTGGTTCAAACCACCAGTTAAATGAGGCAACCTGCTTCTGTTCCAATATTTACAGCCTTGGAAATCCAATGGGGGTCACTGAGTTGATGGCAGTGGGGTTTGTGTTTGTTTGTTTCTTTTCTTCTTTGTCAGTAAAAGATGAAAGCCTTTTACTGAAATCAAATGATGTCGGGTCACAAGGTGGTCTCTGCCCACCTGTAGCCAAGATACATTTTGAAATATAAATTAGGTGAGCCTAGTTTTGAACAGGAAAGATTAGCAACTGTGGGTGAAAAAGGGCACAGGATTTGGTCATTATGATAAATATCTGGTAGGTGATAAAAACCTTAAAATCAAAGATGTTTGCTATTCATTATTGTCTTCAACAATGCCAGCCACCCTTTTCTGATTTGACAGACTATAGGTATTATATTTAGGAGGACCTTGTTAAAAATTGAACTTTACCAGAAGCCTTAAAAAAAAAAAAAAAAAAATCCTCCTCCCACTCCATTTTTTGTTCCTAGAATGGCTTACATTGCAAACAGACCATATGGACTTAATGATCTCCTATTTTAATTGGAGTCCCTAGGTGGTGCAGATGGTTAGCATTATGTCTGCTAACAGCAAATGATGGAGGTTCAGTTCAGCCTGAGGTGACTCGCAGGAAGGCCTAGGGATCTACATCCAAAAGATCAGCCATTGAAAACACTGTAGTGGCAGGAGTGAACTGAATGGTAACTGCTTTTTTTTGGTTGTTTCAATGCTTGAAAACAGGTTCTTCTTAGTCTCCCAGACCTTCCTCTCCTTCAGTTTTTATGACCTCCATGTCTAACCATTATCTCCCATGAGTGTGGTGTCCTTAGCATAAGAAAACATTCCAAGCATACTGGCCTAACTGCAAGTTCAATTATTTACCCTTTCTGGGACTTAATTCTGTAACTGCTTTCAAAAACCTTACAGCCCTTTCTTTGTTTTAGGAGTCTACCCCCAGATGTGTGTGGGTTTGCTTATAGCTACACAATACTTTGCTTTCTACTCCTTCCTTCCTAATAGCATGCTATGGGAATAAAATCCTCCTGAACAATGTCCGTAGACAGTAAACTTTAAAATTCTACGTGAATGGTTAGGGAAGGCGTGTTGTATCTATCCACAGCACTTGAAAGCTTTTTCCCGTTCTTTCCCTACGATTGAGATTAAGCAGACAATTGCAGATGCTGTTACAAGTCTAAAAATTAAAGAGCTCTTTCAAAAGGACCAATTAACCACCTTGATGGGCGACCTCAGCCACACGTTCGTGTCACTAACCACGCATGGCCAGAGTAAGCGCAATTTGGACGTGAGCAAAAAAGCAAAGGCATAAATATTTCAACCTAAATAAACACTTAAGATACTCATAATTGGCCGTAAAGGACAAACGCACAGAATTCTGTGTATTAACCAAATCAGCATTACCGCTCCTCAGCTGAAAGAATGGTGGGCCCTGAGAAGGGCCTTTTGTTGTGAACAAAGGGAAGAGTGCACTCAGCCGCCGAAGCCGTAAAGGGTGCGACCCTGCCGCTTGAGCGCGTAGACCACGTCCATGGCAGTGACTGTCTTACGCTTGGCGTGCTCAGTGTAGGTGACAGCGTCACGGATCACATTCTCCAGAAACACTTTGAGTACGCCGCGAGTCTCCTCGTAGATAAGGCCAGAAATGCGCTTGACACCGCCACGCCGAGCCAGACGCCGAATTGCAGGTTTGGTGATGCCTTGGATGTTATCGCGGAGTACCTTACGGTGGCGCTTAGCACCACCCTTACCGAGGCCCTTTCCACCCTTGCCACGACCCGACATTGTGAAGCAGACGACACTACAACGCCTGGGGACTAGCTGCGCCAGGCATGCTTTTATACGGCTGTTGGCGGACCGAACTGAGAACTTCAAGAAAGCAGGCGGGCAGTCTCTCCCCCGTGGGGGAGGGAAATCTAAGTGAGCGGGAAAGAAGCCATGTTCTATTGTCTTGTGTTTTGTAACAGGGTAAAATAGCTTTTAAAGGCAAAAGCAAACCCTTATTATTGTGGGAAACTCAAAACAGCACAAACAAGAAAATTACAAGCCGTTATTCCGCTACACAGCGATAACTTGGTAACATTTTGGTGAACAGATAAACGCATGTTACATAAATTTTTTACAGGACAATGCATACAGTGCTTTAACTTTTCTACAATTATTATAATTTAATCAGTTTTCCTAAGGAGTTTCAAAAATGATATTTAATGTCTCCCAGTTATTATTTCTTACGAATACTACTTAATATCAATTCTGTAGAAATTCATAACCAGCCAGAATTTTTAAAGTCTTCTTTAACACTAGAACACTATACTTGAAACCATTACTGAAATCCTGTTTTACATTTTAATCAGTTTCCCTCATCAAAAGGAATCTGTGTTCATGGTTAAAAATTTACAGTTACCAAAATGATTTAAAAGTGACCTTTTTTGTCTGCTTCATTTTCCATCACAAGGACTTTCTGTAATACATTTAACAACAGTATATTTTCTAATTTTTTTCCTATTATACAGTTTACATTTATGTAAATTTAAGTATCTTCTGAGAATAACTTTCAAAACATGAAATGTCTTCTCACATAGGATGCTGATTTTAAGATATTTGATTGACATTACATTTTCCTCAAAAAGTTTAGCAAGCTCACTTGTGCCAGCAATAATTTCTATGTAGATAACTTCAATATCACTATTTTGTAAATTCAAAATTTACTTTTGGTGTAGATGATTGAATTTTTGTCTTCAGTGATCCAACTGAGCCGTCAACAAGATTTAGTGCACCACCTGAATATAAATTAACATCTTTATTGTACTGGGAACCATTACAGCAGTTTCCACTGAAAGATGTTTTCACCATCCTAATTTTATAACTTTTTTTTTTTTAAATGGACTCCTTTTGGGATTTAATCATAATTGCATTGCATGTCTTAACTAATTGGGGTAGAAAGATTAACATCTTTAAAATACTGAGTTCTTCAGCTCTGCATACTATCTCTGTTTATCTTTTCAGAAGAGGCAAAAGATGAATTTTGGTGGCAATGTATTTACCAAAGCCACAGTCTGACCTTTTTTTTCTTGACTTGCTTTTCTATACTTGTAATTAATTTATTTCTAGCCATACTCTTGGAGAACTCTGTATCAATATGAAAGCAGCTCTTTTTGTCATCCTGATCCTGTATTAGAGTTCTTGATATAAAACTTCTTGATATAAGATCTCTCTATGAATCCAAATCTTCATTTTTTGCCTACATAAGTTTTCTTTAGTTCTCAGTAAATTTATATCTAAACATATACATGCATATAAAGCGCATATATTATAATAGATATGCCTAATATAATGACAAATTCAGGTAATTATATTTTAATTTTTTAAATTATATTAGGAAAAATGAAAATATGCCTGTAATTTCATAGTCCAAAGATCACACCATTAACTTTATGATATCTATCCACTGAAAATATGATTTTTTATATACTTGATTATTTTTTATATGCATGGAGATCTGTGAAATTCTTTTAACTGTAAAGATATTACAATAAATCCCGATACCATTTAAATCTTGTGGTTTTCAGTGTTTCTTTATTGATATGTGCTTTGGAAAGTAGTTAGGATCTCAGTCTCTACATTCAGACAAGCATGTGTTTAAATTATGGCTTTAAGGCAGTCACCTTTGCTCTCTCCGTTTTAGTTTCCTCATCTATATAATGATGGTTAGAACAATCATCCTTCATATGGATATTCTATGAATTCATGGAGATAATTGAGCAAAATAGGAGCTCTGGTAGCATGGTGCCTAAGGCATTTGACTGCTCACCAGAAGGCTGGCTGTTCAAACCCACCAACCACTCCTTGGAAAGAAAGTGGGCAATCTATTTCCCTAGTGATACCACCTCGGAAACCCAAGGAGGATTCGTTATGAGTCAGATCCCACTCCATGGCAGTGTGTTGCATTGCATTGCATTGTTGGTGACAAAGTGGCTAAGGCGTTTGGCTGCTAACTAAAAGGTCAGTTGTTTGAACCCACCAGCTGCTCAATGGAAGAAAGGGCAGTCTGCTTTTGTAAAGATTTACAGTCTTGGAAACCCAACAGGGGTTGCTATGAGTGGGAATCAACTTGATGGCAGAGTTTTGGTTTTTAATGAGGGCAAAAAGATGATGAAAACCCAGTCTTCATTCTGCATAACTTGAGGAAAAAAGACAGTTATTGCCATGAGACAAAGTGTATGTGAACTGTTGTATGGAAACTGAATTTGCTCTGTAAATTTTCACTCAAATCACAGTTAAAAAAAAAAAAAAAAGACAGTTATCAGCACCTCAAATATCAGCTCTATCAACTCATACAGTTCCATGCTAGAGTGGCAGGGCAGAGTTCTCCAAATGTATGGAGGACACTCAAGAAAGAACAGTTTAAATAAGCTTCATTAAGTATCCTATGATCAAAATATAAATTTCAACTCTTTCAAAATGGTTGTACATACATTTAGAAAGAATGTACAGATCTAAAGATTCCCTCGTGTTTGCCAAATAAACAAATCTGGACTTGGAGAGAGATAAGCTTTATTCAGAAAGGAATGCAAAGAAAGGACCTATGGTAATATTTGCGGTCAGGGAAAATTACATTAGGGAGAGCACTCTGAGCTCGAGATCTATAAGCATCACAGTTAGAGGAAGAATGTTTCAGGGTCTGAGAGTAAACAAGGATAAAAACAACCCAGGAGTGGGGATGTGGGATGAAAGGGTGATGTTGTCAGATCCGAATGTTTTATGTTGAGGTCAGCTTATTGTCCAGGACCCAGAAAACTAAACCTGTTCCTGACGAGTTGATTCCAACCATAGCGATTCTATAGGACATACAAGCCTCACAGGATTTCTAAGGTTGTAAATCTTTACGTAAGTAGACTACCACGTCTTTCTGAGACAAGCACAGACAAGAGTTCTGCAGTTGAGACCTACAAATTCTGTATCCTGCTCCAGATCTTTCTGTTTAACATATGGCTCTCGATAGAAACCCGGTAAATATTGATACTTTCTGGCTACTTGCACTACACCGCTGGACTTTCACTTATAATCACAGACCAATCAGATGACAGGATGTTATATGCATTATTACGTCTAAATTTACCACAGGAAATGTGATACCAAGGAGCAACTGCAGCTTAAAAATATAAAATATAAACGAGTCCCGAGCCCAAACAGGTATCAAACAATGACATATTTTCACCCAAAATGTATTTAGACAAAGTATAACCAAGCCTGTTGCCGTGGAATCCTCTCATAGCAACCCATTAGGACGGAGTAGAACTGTCCCATAAGATTCCCAAGGCTGTAATCTTTCTCCCATGGAGCCGCTGTTCAAACCGACCTTCTGGTTGCAGCCGAGCGCTTACCCACTACACCAAAAAAACTAAAACTCTCCTTAAGAAAACTAAAACAATAGCAAAGCGGTAACTGCGAACAAGCTCTTTCTTAGGAAACGTGTATGGCTCTGAAAAGAGCCTTTGGTGTTAGATGTAAAACGCTTATTCAGCACGTTCACTTGGAGCTGGTGTACTTGGTGACGGCCTTGGTACCTTCAGACACGGCGTGCTTAGCCAGCTCGCCGGGCAACAGCAGGCGCACCGCTGTCTGGATCTCCCGCGAGGTGATGGTCGAGCGTTTGTTGTAATGGGCCAGGCGAGATGCCTCGCTCGCGATGCGCTCGAAGATATCATTAACAAACGAGTTCATGATGCCCATTGCTTTGGACGAGATACCCGTGTCAGGGTGGACCTGCTTCAGCACCTTATACACATACACTGAATAACTCTCCTTGCGGCTGCGCTTGCGCCTTTTGCCATCTTTCTTTTGGACTTTAGTAATGGCCTTTTTAGAGCCTTTCTTAGGAGCTGGCGCAGATTTGGCAGGCTCAGGCATGATGATGGAATACGGCGAAGTAACTGAAGACGGAAAGCGTAGGACTGTTTAACCGCTTTACTTATAGGCTCTTATGCAAATGAGGGAACTACAGTTCCTCTAGTTATTGGTGCCTCCACCGATGACGTCCTGTGACAGTTTTGTCCAGTCAAAAATACGTGTCTTACATATTTGCTTTTCCATTGGTCTAAATGAAAATAGCATATTGACCAATGGCACGGCGTTCTTCTCGCGCCCAGCAGTGGCTATAAAATGCGTCTTGGGTACTTACGTTTCAATCTGTGGTGATAGCTGTAGGTTCGGTAACCATGTCTGGAAGAGGGAAACAGGGCGGCAAGGCTCGTGCCAAAGCGAAGACCCGGTCTTCCCGCGCCGGCCTCCAATTCCCCGTGGGCCGTGTACATCGCCTACTCCGCAAGGGTAATTATGCTGAGAGAGTCGGGGCTGGCGCCCCCGTTTACCTGGCTGCGGTGCTGGAGTATCTGACCGCTGAGATACTGGAGCTGGCGGGTAACGCAGCCCGTGACAACAAGAAGACGCGCATCATCCCGCGCCACCTGCAGCTGGCCATCCGCAACGACGAGGAACTCAACAAGCTGCTGGGCAAAGTCACCATCGCACAGGGTGGTGTCTTGCCCAACATCCAGGCCGTGCTGCTGCCCAAGAAAACCGAGAGCCACCACAAGGCCAAGTAAGGAAAAAGTTTGGAAACTCGGAAAAACAACGGCTCTTTTCAGAGCCACTTTCATAGTCAAAAAAAGGTGACACGATCTATTGCAATTCGGCTACTTAGCCATTTTAAGTGCTTCTCTGAATTTTGAAAAAAACATGGTGTTTAATTCGAGTTAACCCCTTACTACACTGTGTTGCTCCACTTCCATTTATTCTATCCCTTTGCAAGGAGCCTTAGCTAAGACTGTTGGCAAGCGTGTGCGGTTGTTGGAAATGAGCGTTACCTAGGCCCACATGTGTGGAAATACGCTGTAGATAGATTAGGTAATAAGTGTTGCTATGGGAAGTTCAAATGGTCTTGGTGGCGTCACGGACGTCGAGGTTTACATTTATGCAGAGGAATCCGTTGGACTGTCAGGGTTGATTTTTAGCTTTCAAAAATAAAGTAACTGTATGATACATTAAGTGGTACATACTCAGATATAATTTATCTTAATTACTATGTGACATTGGCACATTTCATTTTTCTCAATTGAGAGCAAATTCCTCATCCTATTTTCCCAGCCCCTCAAAAGGGAGACACAATAGGTGTGTCAAAAAGATGACATACGTTGGTTGTACTTTATTATTTTTGTTTTTTTTACTTACTAGAATTAAGAATAAAAAAGTTGCTGAGAAAACCTTAGAGATCATCAAATTAAGGATCTTTCAAAAATGTATGTATTTTATATACGAGCTAGCAATCACTTGTATGTATATGTTAGTGCATTGTTGAAATAATTTTACTAAATAATACCTTTATAAGATGTGTTCTGATAATTTTCTGTTCTACTCTGTGATATTGGTAGTTAAACTCTGTTGCACCTGGCATTTTTCATATTCTAAATGGGTACCTGCCTCATAAATATCTTGAGATTGGCAAATGAATACTTGTTTAGAACACAACCGGGTAGATAGATGCAAAGCTTGGTGGTGGTGGTGGTACTGATGACAATGACAATGATAAAGGTACTGTGTTCTGAGAAGGCAGAGCCATTTTCAAGATAGCGAGGTATAGAAATCAAAGATAACGAAATGTTCTCCCTCTTTCTAGGTCTTTTATTCTGGACCCTGGAAAGAACTAGAATATTTATGCTGCCTATCAGTTTTGTTGTCTTAAGAAATTCAAGTGCAAAAATGGTATCTTCTATTTCCCCTTTTATTAAACTCTAATGTTGTTATGTATTCAACTAGATTTATTTAGCGCTTATGTGTCATGACCCATTGCCACTGAGTTGATTCTAATTCATTGTGGCCCCCATTGAGTTTCTAAGGCTGTAAATCTTTACAGAAGTAGATTGCTTCATTTTCCTTCCCCAGAGAAGCTGTTGGGTTTGAACCATAGACCTGGTTAGTAGGCAATTGTCTTACCCAGTATACCACCAGAGCTCCTTTTTTATCCAAAATCTTTATCCAAATTAATTAATTAAAAATCTTTAATCCAAAATCTTTATCTCTATCCTAGAATTACCTCCTGAGTTCCGGGCATGCATATCCATCTACCTCCTGAAATTCTTAAAAGTTCTTACAAGAAACTCAAAATACATCTCCCAGGCAGAAATCATCATCATCATCACCAATTTTGCTGCCCCAGTGATCCTTGTCTTAGTAAATGGCATCACTGACTATGCATTATTATCATGAACCAACATGACTACAGCCTTAAATTTTCAATTTTGTGTGCTGTTCCTTGAGAAGGGAGAGGAAAGCTTATTGAAAGTCCAAAAAGATAAGGCTACCAGATTACCATAGTTTGTACAGTGTTTTGAGACATGACATCCACATGCACATAACTAAGACTACCCATTGCCTCTGAATAATTTTTCACGTAATCCATACTGAAAGGTTGATTAGACTACAGGTCTCCAGAAGGTATCCTACTCAACCAGCAAAAGTATTGCTGACAGGGTAGCAGGGCAATCTCTGTGTGGGCCCTTCCTGACTTATTAATAGCTCACTTTCATCTGAGAGATTGCACTGCTTACACAGTCAAGAATACTAATCTGTTGAGAATTGATACTACATCATCAGCTCAGTAGGGACTGCCCCAAGAGGTTCTAGAGAGTACTCTTTCCCTCCAAAATACTGTATCTTCCTCTACAGGAGGGAGATTCCTGAGAAGGGACACTCAGAACTCTCTTCTGCTTTTGGTGTTAATTCCAATAGAAGGTACTAGAATATTTTAATTTTGTAAAGTATAGGAATAATCCTAAATTTCATGATGTGGAAATCATGGTATTTCCCATGAATCCACTCATGGAAAGGCAATAAGTATGAAAAGATTGTAGTGGTTTTGACAGTGATGTTGTTATCTAACATCAAACAAATGTAACTAATTCTGATAACTGAATGGAATACATAAATAGCCAGGTGGAACAAGATAGAGAATACAAGGTGCTTTTTAAAAGTTCAGTGTAAAACTACTATGATCTCCAGTTACGTTTCCCAGACTGACAAGTTGAGGAGGGACAAAATTGATGACACAATGAAACAAGCCAATTATCCACAGAAAGTCTTCTTGAAGCATGGAAGAGAGAACATAGAAGAAAAGTTATGCATGCCTAGAACTCTGAATATATGAATGAGTGGGAAATTCCTGTCATGGTCCACAAGCTGATTTTAGCATACCTAGTAGGTCTCTGGTAGCATAGTGGCTAAGACACTTGCCTGCTAACCAGACGGCTGACGGTTCAAACCCACCAGCCACTCCCCGGAATGAAGGTTGGGCAATTCTACTTCCGTAGTGATACTGCCTCGGAAACCCAAGGAGGGGTCGCTATGAGTCGGGGCCGACTCGACGACACATAACAACAACAGTAGGTCTCTGGGAGCTCTAGTAGCATAGTGCCTAAAGCATTTGATTGCTAACCAGAAGGCTGGCGGTTCAGACCCACCAGCCTCAAACCTACCAGCCACTCCTCGGAAGGAAGATGGGGCAATCTACTTCCATAGTGATACTGCCTCGGAAACCCAAAAGGTCGGTGATTCAAACCCACTCAGCAGTGCAGCAGAAAAAAGGCCTGGTGATCTTCTATTGCAAAGATTACAACCAAGCCCTGCTGAGTGATTCTACTCTAACACATAGGGTTGCCATGAATCCAAATTGACTCAAAAGCAATGGTTTTGGTTTAATTCATTTTTTGGTTAGCAGCTTAATGTGTTTAAACTTTCATGTGAGGTTTTCCAAGCTGTTTCTTTCCTGCTCCCTCATGAATTCATTTACCCCAAAAAATATTTGATTGAGCAGCTACTGTATACTTTTCTATGTATGGGGGATACAGAGTGAAGAGTGAAAAGACAAAGGTTCCTCCTTTCATGGACTTTCATTTTGAGACAGACAGCAAACAAAATAAATATGCATATTACATAAATTCTAAGGAGATAAAAATAAATGGAAAAGTGGGGTTTACAACACCGCATAACATGGATGAACTTAGAGGACATTATGCTGAGTGAAATAAGTCAATCACAAAAGGACAAATATTGTATTTGTCCGTTACTGTAAAAGTTAAGGAAAGGTTTATCTATAGAAGGAAATTTTCTTTGTTGGTTACCAGGGGTGGGAGGGGAAGGGGGGAACACTGTTAGATAGATAGAGATAAGTATTGATTTGGGTGAAGTGAAGGGCAATGTGGCAAATGTGAGTGACCAATATGAGAGATGAGAAAGATATAGAGAGGTGCATGGGAGGTACAGACAACAAATATGAACCCTTTTGCACATACAGTACTGCATTGTCAGTGAAGGCAAACATGAGTAGATGGGTGGATAGATGGGTAGACAGGCTGAACGATTAGGTATGTCTATGAAATGGGGAGTGTATCCAAAAACATATATAGAGTTGGCAGACAATGGTCCTACAAGTTTATGTGAATGATCAGAATTCCCAGGTGTATAGTAGAGCTGACAAGGGGCAAGGTTGTGGTCACTGCTTGGTCACAGCCAGCTACCCAGAGGGACCGAGTAGTTGAACCTGCGGGCTTGAGACCATAGTCGCAGGGGACATCAAGCTCAATTTGGCATAACATACTGTACAAAACATTGTTCCACCTCCTACTTTAGCAAGTAGCAACTGGGATCTTAAAAGCTAGCAAGCTGCCATCTAGATGCAACGATGGGTCTCTCCTCGTCCAGAGCAAAGAAGAATGAAGAAAACCAAAATTCATGGAAACAATTAGTCCTAGTGACTGGTACACCATCCGATCTGCAGCCTATACGACTGAGACCAGAACTAGATGGTGCCGGGCTACCACTGTCATCCACTTGAAAGGGGATCTATGTAGGAGATCCTTGATAGAGAGGGAGAACAATGTGGAACAAAACTCAAAATCATTTGGAGAAAAAAAAAAGGGGGTGGGGACAAGGTTTGCTGGTCCCATAGAACCTGGTGGAACCCCTGAGACTGGCCTCTAGCTGCCCTTCAGGTCTGGAATTGAACCCACATCTGTGGTTTCCAGTCAAACGAAAGACAGGCATGAGTTGAACATTTACCTGAGGTAGATACACTCCTTGGAGAGAACAACCATGGGAGAAAGAAGGGCTGCTTATGCACAGGGAGACAGCTCAGGGAGCAGGAGTGCATGGAGGGATGGAAACTGGGAAGAGGTAACTATGGGGAGGAAGTGGGAGGGGAGCTGTTGCATTGTGGTCAATGTCATGAGACAAAGTGTATGTGAACTGCTGTATGGAAAGTGAATTTGCTGTGTAAATCTTCACCAAATCACAATTTAAAAAAAAAAAAAAAAAGTGGGGTTTACGATGTTTCAACTTAGGAGTTATAGAAGGCCTCAATGAGAAAGTAACGTTTAAACAAAATCCAAAACCCACTGCCAGAGTTGATTGTAACTCATAGCGACCCCCATCGGTTTCCAAGGCAGTTAATAGGCTGAAGTCACACTCAACAACTGCCTATTTTTAGTGCAAAACCCTCTATACTGACGGTGTGAGGTGAAACATGCTGAAATACGGCATTTATACCGTTTCCTACAACCCGGTACAACTGCACTTTTAAATACCCAGATGCCTGGAAAGCCAGATTGTAAAACGCCCACTAATATGGCCTATTTGCCTTAAAAATGACAATGTAAGTACCAGTAAGAATAGTACGGAAACAGTTCTTTCGGGAAAACGTGGGTGGCTCTGAAAAGAGCCTTTGATTACTTGAGTTTGGGAGAGTCTTGAGAATTAGGCTCTCTCCCCGCGGATGCGGCGGGCCAGCTGGATGTCTTTGGGCATGATGGTGACGCGCTTGGCGTGGATAGCGCACAAATTGGTGTCCTCGAACAGCCCCACCAAGTATGCCTCGCACGCCTCCTGCAACGCCATCACAGCCGAGCTCTGGAAGCGGAGATCGGTCTTGAAGTCCTGGGCGATCTCGCGCACCAGCCTCTGGAAAGGCAGCTTGCGGATCAGCAGCTCCGTGGACTTTTGGTAGCGCCGGATCTCGCGCAGCGCCACGGTGCCGGGCCGGTAGCGATGAGGCTTTTTCACACCGCCGGTAGCCGGTGCGCTCTTGCGGGCGGCCTTGGTGGCCAGCTGCTTGCGCGGCGCCTTGCCACCGGTGGACTTACGAGCTGTCTGTTTAGTTCGCGCCATAGTTGAGTACCTTGTCTCGCGTTAGGAGAGAAGTGAAGACAAGACTTTAAAGCCACCTATTTATAGTGAGAGTAAGACTCTGATTGGATAAAAAGAAGCCAAGGGTACCCTCCCTGTAACCGGATTGGTTATAGACTCGGAATTTTCATTTGCTCTGCTGCAAAGCCTCTGGTATTCTTTGTTCTCTACGGCCTGGTAGGTTTGTTCTCTCCATTTTCCCTTAAACTTGTTCGATCTATACCAGCACTTTCAAATGGAAGTAAATGCGAGCTACATAGAGTTCAAATTTTCTAGTAGCCGCATTTTAAATAATAATATAAAACCAGGTGAAATTAATTTTAAAAGTAGTTTGTTTAGCCCAGTATAACCAAAATATCACTTCAACATGTGAACAATATAGAAATTAGATAATTCTTATTCCTGGATTTTTTGTTTGCTCGTTTGTTTTTGCACTGTCTCTGAATTCCAATGTGTATGTTACATGTATAGCACATCTTTATTCAGTCTAGCCACATATCAAGTAATCAGTCATAATTGCCTAGCACAGCTCTCTCTCACTTCAACTTATCCTTCAAAAACTTACAATTTTAAGACCTTTTTTCCCCCTGCAGGAAAATAAACTTGATTTGGGATGTGAAGAATTCAAGAACTAATAACTTCATAGAGAAATGCATCCGTGTTTTCACGTTCAGATACTATAAAAACGACTCCATTATAGTGTACTTTTCCTAATGCTTTTGCTCTTAAAGAATCTTGTTTCTTCAGTGCATCGATGTTTTGAGTAAAATTAAACAGGATAGAGTTTAGCATGTTTTATCATGAAATGAATAGGTAATCACAACTTGTATGTAACGATTTCAATTTGTGGACAGAATAAAGATAACTCAGAAAAATACTTGAGAAAAATATTTGAGCAAAGTCCAAAGACAGGTGTTATATCCTACCCTTAAGAACTGTCACAGACTTCTCAGCAAGTCACTGTCTTTTTCTATCCCCCTAGCTAAAATTTATTTTACTTGGTAAAATACAGTAGGCAGTAGGTCATATTCAACCCATGGGCTATAATATACCGACTCCTGCCATTGATGATAGTCAGATGACCTAGCTGCCCCGGGAGTTGCCGCCCAGTCTGCTTCTCCGTAAAATGGAAATCACAGTACGGTAGGTGCTATGCTGCGGTTTGTTGCTGAGGGCAGAACAGGGCCTCATCTTTGGGAGTTTGTGGCCTAATGGCAGGTGCAGAGGTCAGTGCGAGGACAGCGCTGCAACAAGCTGAGGCTTCTTCATAAAAGGCACCAACTACCTTATTCCAGATCAGACCCGACCCGTTTAACCTCATACGTACATGGTTCTTAGTCTCTGGGAGAGCATTGTCATTACTGCGGCCCTAGGAGCCCCCTGCTATGCTGTGGCCCATCAGCCCCTCTCTGGTGCTAGCCCATTTGTAGTGCCTCCAGTTTCTCTCGGGTGACGAAGATTTTCGTCTTCTGCAGCTGCAGCACTTCTCGCTTTTTAAGCTGCACCCCAGCCTGCTGCTGGGCCGTGCCGGCCTGCTGCTGGGCCTCCTGGGCCTGCGGCTGCTGGTGCTTCCACGCCTTCTGCTGCAGGTTCGCTATCAGCAGCTGGTTTCCACCTGATTCCAATCATTAGCTCCCGGTGCGAGCTTCCTCCACGACTTTGCACTTGGCCAGGACCCGGGCTTGGAACTCGTGTACCTTCTTCACCACCTGGGCCACAAATTCCAGCCTGAAGGCGTACACGGTCGGCTGTTACTCCCGGTAATGCTGGATCAGCGGCAGATTAATTACCCAATAAACAAAGTAAACCATGAGTTTCCTTGTGTTTACTTCTCTGTAAGGAACAGTTTCACCATATGACCTGTGCTTTCCTTGCTTATTGGGTAATCAGTGGGACACTGATTCAGTAGGATCACCGTGGGCGGGGACGCCAAGCGTCAGACCTTGGACTTGGCCGACTGGTCGTGGCGGATCTTGCAGATGCGAGGGGGGCAATAGCCCGGCCCCGGGCCGCTCACCCAGGCCGCTCAGCGCGCGCAGAATGACCCAAATACAAGGCAGTCTTAATTTTGGATATACCTGGGGCTGCCTTTTAAATTAACTCCTTGTCCGATTAACAGGCCTATAAATTTAAAATCCTCTCCTCAGCAATGTGAAACAATGGGATTAGAAATTGAGTGGCTGCATAAAGGACCTTTAGGCTATGATAGAGGTTTAGGTTGACCCCTACAGGATTTGCCTTTTATTTTTTAATGTATATATAAGGCCTCCCTCCCCCCAGAAAAAATTGTCTTAAAGTACCATCTGCTACATTTGTCCTTAAACTAATAGATCCACCACCAGAATTTCATTAATTGCTCAAGTGTCTGGGTGTAAATCGAGTTTTTAGTAAAGTGGTCTCTACGTAAACCCCTTAAGAGCAATGCTGATTTGACTAACCAGGTTGGTGTTTCAGACTCAACCAGCCGCTCCGCATAAAATGGAGCAATCTACTTCCGTAGATTTACCACCTCGGAAACCCAATGCGGGGGTCGCTATAAATTGGAATCGACAGAAGCAGTTAGGTTTTTTTTAGTTTAGTTTAATGCCTTTTTAGCGAAATCGGTGACTGAATTCTCACTTATTAAGCCTAGGTAAAAGTGTGTGGTTGCAGGTGGCATATCTAGATAGAAAACCCAAGCAAGTAAATTAGCTCTACCTAAACCTTAATCCTAATTAAGTGCTCAGTTCTTCTCAGGAAATCTTAGGTGGCTCTGAAAAGAGCCTTTGGTTTAAACAGGAGATTTGAGTTGCGGAACAGAAACGTCGTCTATTTGCCCTTTGCCTTGTGGTGGCTTTCAGTCTTCTTGGGCAAAAGCACAGCCTGGATGTTCGGTAGAACACCACCCTGAGCTATAGTGACTTTACCCAGCAGCTTGTTGAGCTCCTCGTCATTACGGATGGCGAGCTGCAGGTGGCGCGGGATGATGCGCGTTTTCTTATTATCGCGGGCGGCGTTGCCTGCCAGCTCAAGGATCTCGGCAGTCAGGTACTCTAGCACCGCGGCCAAATATACTGGCGCGCCCGCCCCAACCCGCTCGGCATAGTTGCCCTTGCGAAGAAGCCGATGCACTCGGCCCACCGGAAACTGGAGTCCGGCGCGGGAAGACCGGGTCTTAGCCTTTGCGCGAGCCTTGCCGCCCTGTTTACCACGTCCAGACATAGCTAGGTGTTAGCAGATTCAGTCTCCAAAGAGTGACAAGAAAATAGCAAAAACCCTCTTTATAGCCTCTACTGGGCGGGAAAAATAATGCTGTGCCATTGGTTAATATGTTATTTTCAAACAAACCAATGGAAAGGCGATATAATACGATGCCTATTTTGATTGGACAAAACTGCAATTTGGCGTCATCTAAGAAAATCACCAATGATCAAGTGACTTTACTCCTCCTCATTTGCGTAAAACCCTGGAAATAAAGGTGAGCCTTCTTCCTGCTATCCAGTTCACTTTTGCTTTTTTATTTTCCACAATGCCTGAACCAGCCAAGTCAGCTCCCGCTCCTAAGAAGGGCTCCAAGAAGGCGGTGACCAAGGCTCAAAAGAAGGATGGCAAGAAGCGCAAGCGTAGCCGTAAAGAAAGCTATTCCGTGTACGTGTACAAGGTCCTGAAGCAGGTACATCCGGACACCGGCATCTCGTCCAAGGCTATGGGTATCATGAACTCCTTCGTCAACGACATCTTCGAGCGCATCGCGGGCGAGGCGTCGCGCCTGGCGCATTACAATAAGCGATCGACCATCACGTCTAGGGAGATCCAGACAGCCGTACGCCTGCTGCTACCCGGGGAGCTGGCCAAGCACGCTGTGTCCGAGGGGACCAAGGCCGTCACCAAATATACGAGCTCCAAGTAAATGCCTATGTGGCACTGTCAACCCAAAGGCTCTTTTCAGAGCCACTCACTTAGTACAAAAGAACTGTTGCACGCTTTGCTTAATTACATGTTTCGGGGGGAAGGGAAATTTTGGGGGTTTGAGGGGCACTTAGTGCCCTAAGAGTACATCCCTGGCCGCGACCTTCTTAGCGCTTGTTCGGTGTAAATGACTCTATCACAGGTAACATTCTCTAGGAAGACCTTGAGCACCCCAGTTTCTTCGAAGGTGAGGCGCCATCACACCGCCATGAAGAGCCAGGCGTCCTGTTGCAGGCTTGGCGATGCCCTGGATGTTGTCACGCAGAACCTTGAGGTGGAGTTTAGTGCCACCTTTGCCTAAACTCTTCTGCTGCCTCACCCCCACCGCCACGTCCAGAAATCGGTGTCAGAAGGTAAGTCTAAGCACTGTAAAAACGGCGTGATTAGGAAAAATGGCGGGCCTTTCTTTAGAATCAGTCGGACCGAACTGAAAACTAGAGGGAATGCAGGCGGGAGATCTTAGCATTTCTAGCTCCGCCCGCGTTCTCTGCTCCAAACAAGTGGAGGAGGCGGCACCTTCCGGGGCTGTTCGGAGGAGTTGAGGATCAAATGTCAGGTAGCATGTGCTGTGAGTCCTCTCGAGATAAGAAGTATGTTAGCTGAAGTATGTTAATGCTTTGGGCAAAGAATTGAGATTGACAAGTGAAAACGCATCTCCGGTTGGTATTCAGCAAACTGTAGAAGAAGGCACACAGTGGGTAAAGAAGCTCACAACCCAGCTTGGATTAGGAATGGACTGGCTTCTGGCCCCAGCTCCTATTTGCTATATGATCATAGATAGCTTACTTAACGGCTCTGGGCATTTCTTTATCTGTAAAATAAACATACTGTTAGCAAACACATGCGTGTACAACGTGATATGTTGTTAAAACAGCCCCATAAAGCAGGTACTATCATCCCCATTATTGAAATGAGGAAAAACAACAGCGACAACTTACCCCAGGTCACGCAGCAAGAAACAGGGTGACTAGAAGGTAAACAGCCAAACTGCAGACTCCTTGCTATTACCAGTAGGATCTACTAATAATACTCACCTGACAGGCTTATGCAAACAACGTGAAAGTACAAATAAGGCACTTAATAGGCCTTTGCTTGTATCTGTCACCCTTGCATGATAATTATGAATTCATTTATTCAATATTTACCATGTTCCTAGCACTGTGCTAAAGAGCTCTGGTGGCGCAGTGCCTAAGGCATTTGCTAACCAGAGTTCAAACCCACTACCCACTCCACAGAAGGAAGGCCAAGCAATCTACTTCTGTAAAGGTTTACCACCTCGGAAACCCAATGGGGGTCACTGAGTCAGAATCAACTCGATGGCAGTGGGTTTGGGTTTGGTTTGGTCTGGTTTTTTTAGCACTGTGGTAGATTATTAGTTTTGTAAGAGTCATCTTGTTCATTACAGACTACAGTTTTAAAGCTGTTGAGAAAAACTGAGGACCAACAAGACAGATTCCTCTTGATACATAGGAAAATCCAGAGCTCACTGGCCATTATAAAATACAACCAAGAACAGATAAATATCTAAGTTCTCAGAAATATAGGGGACACAGTGACCATTAACATCCCACAGATCCTCCCTTGTGTAGAACATCTGTTAACCATAAACTTGATCAAATTTACCTCATGCAAAGAATCCAAGACAGACATCATGCTGAAGGTCAGTCAATGGTTATTTTCCACTCCATATTTCCTCCCTTTTCTCCTTAGAAAAAAACTGCCATAACTAGCCTAAGACAAAACCAAAAAACCAAACCCACTGCTGTGGAGTCGGATCCGACTCATAATGACCCCTCCTTGGCTTCTGAGGCAGTATCACTACAGAAGTAGACTGCCCAGCCTTCCTTCAGAGGACTGGCTGGTGGGTTTGAACCACCAGCCTTCTGGATAGCAGTTGAGTGCCTTAAGCACTAGGGCACCAGAGTTCCCAGCCTGTTTTTCTGAACAGAGCAGTCTTACTATATGCATACAAATTTACTGCTAGAATAAACCCTGTTGCTCTTATTAGGTGCAATCGAGTCTGCTTGGACTTATATCAACCCTATGTACAGCAGAATGAAACGCTGCCAGGTCCTGCACATCCTCACAATCCCTGTTATGCTTGAGCCCATTGTTGCAGTCGCTGTGTTAACCCATCTCGTTGAGGGTCTGTGCTTTGATTATTTTGACAAGGCTAAATTCTGAGGTGTATTTTTAAAAACCAAACTCACTGCCTTAGAGTCGTTTCCGGCTCCTAGCAACCCCCCTTGGGTTTCCGAGGCGGTATTAGTCAATATTGTACGAAAGAGCAGGCTTGAGTTCATATTTTATATGGTACCAAAAAAAAAAAAAAAAACTCACTGCCGTCAAGTCGGATCCGACTCATAGCGACCCCTCCTTGGGTTTCCGAGGCAGTAAGAAATAGAAAAAAGGCTGAAGAGGTTGTTTTGTTTTGTTTTAAACAACAAGAGAATAGGAGGCATGTGTAGCATTCTTTAGTGAGCTCCCTGGCTGGTGGAAAATGTGTGCTTGACTACATAGTGCATTTGACTGCTAACCAGAAAGCTGGCGGTTCAAACCCACCAGCCACTCCTCAGAAGGCAGGTTGGGCAATCTACTTCCGTAGTGATACCGCCTCGAAAACCCAAGGAGGGGTCGCTATAAGTCGAATCAACTCCATGGCAGTGAGTTTGGCTTTTTTTCTTCTTCCTTTGTAGTGTTTCCGTGAACCTTGATTATCATAAACCGGATGTGGTAATGTAATCCTTCAAGCAGGGACTTTATTGGGATGCTTGGATCTGAGAAACATATTCGTGATAACAACACTCAAGAAATCAAACTAAAATTCACTGTATAAATATATTGAGAGATGTGCCCGGCCTGAGAACTGATCACAAATTACCAGTACTAATTGCCATCGGGTACACTCGAACTCATGGTGACCCCTTATGTGTCACAGTAGAACAGTGTCCATTGCATTGTCAATAGCTGATTTTTCTGCAGTAGAGCTCCAGGCCTTTCTTCCAAGGTGCCTCGGGGTGAACTTGAACCTGCAACCTTTCAGTTAGCAACTGAGCATGTTAACTGTTTGCACTGCCCTGGGATTCTGATCACAAACTAGTAATCAGAAATTGGTTTAGTGAGCAAAGAATCAAAATTAATGAAGTAACCTGATTCCTAAGGAATATTTCCATAAATCTGCAATGGCATTTTAACTTGTCTCTCTTTACTCTTTATACACTCGTGTCTTAAATAATCATGCTGCCAATCTAGCATGAATTTATTCTCCTTCACTGTATGATGTGGGTGATACAGCTTACAATCTTCATGCTTCAGTTTTCCTTTATCTGAATTCCAGGCATGCCAACTGCACTCCCACACACATGCCTGTCATTAAATTGCTGTAATTTCACATTATTTTATATTGTTTTACAAAAGAGTGGAGAAACACTAGAGGCTTATCCACAAGTACTTATCTCTTGGTGGAAGTGCTTTAAAATAACTTCATCCACTTTATTTCTGCTTGTATTATAACCAGTACTATTTCTGAACCCTGTCTTCAAATTCTAGGAAGGAATTGTTCTGGTTACCTTGTGCTGCTCTGACAAAAATATACCACAAATGGGATGGCCTTAACAAACAGGAGTTTATTCTTACAATTTGGAGGCTATCAGTCCAAGTTCAAAGTGCCAGGCTCTAGGGGCTGGGTGAAAGCCCCTCAACCTTGGGGTCCAGCTCTGCCTCCTGCTCCCGGCCCACTGGAGCTAGAGGCATTTCTTCACTCAGACAGCTGTTGGCTGCTGAGGCTGAGAAGCCCCAAGGTTGATAAATAAAAAGGCACAGTCCCAATGTTACCAAACCACACAGCAGGCCATTAACTTGAGTCCATTGTAAGTCCCAAGGTCGGCAGAGCATAGCAGGCTGCTGAGCAACGACACGGCTACATGCAGGGTCCAAGCGTGCCATAGGCTAGAGACCATTCCCAAAGGCTTCTCCTTATATTCAAGAAGCAGACCGCATACCCAAAGGCAGCTACCCAGCTGCTTGTGATAGATCCCACCATGAAGTTGATTGCCAGTCTCCTCATGGGGATTAACTACCACCAGCTTCCCAGCCACTCAACCAGACCCAGCCAAGTTGACACACAAACTGAACGACCACAGGAACCTAGTGTGAAGTTTACAAAGCTGGTTTCCCAATGACAGACCAAACCAAACTCACTGCCATCGAGTTGATTCTGAGTCATAGTGACCCCCACTGGGTTTCTGAGATGGTAAATCTTTACGGAAGTAGATTGCTCCATCTTCCGTGGAATGGCTGGTGGGTCTGAACCACCAACCTTCTAGTTAGTAGTCAAATGCCCTAGGCACTGCACCACCAGAGCTCCTTCCAATGTCAGAAGATGACTTATATATTGGAGAGGTTAGCTCACAAATGTGGTGATCTGGTGTCTCAATATCCATGGGGACGAAAAGACTGCAGACTTGGAATGTGAAAACATGGCTTTGCCATTTATGAGAGCTGTGCTGCAGGAAGAAAGGAAAAAAGACCAGAAGAACTGGAGGCTTAAACTAGGAGATGAGTCCAACATTTTATTCAGCGGCCCACACATCTTCCGGCGCCTCTCCATTCTGTGAAGCTAGGAGTTAGAACTTTTAGCTCTCAGGACCCTGGTTCTTTGCCACCCATCCCTCCACCCACAAAAAAAGTCTGATGTTGCAAAGGTGTGACTCTCACCACCACAGAGAGATAAGTAGTGTTCTGGCCACTGTGCAGGTACAGACAAGTCAGTGAAACTTATACCTAGTTTCCTTATGTGAAATATCAGGGATAGTTATGTTGAATGAGACAGGATACATGATAGGGAATTTAAGCACTGTGCATCAAGGGAAGAATATAGAAATTATTGCAAATGCCAGTTATAAGTCAAAGAAATTATTGTAGAGCCAGTAATTTTACATC